TGTTGTATCATTCTTAAAAAAATAAAATTCCAAAATCAGTAGTTGATACAATGACACAAACCTTTATTTCGGATACTACCTAAATTTGTGAATTAGTAGGATATTTGCCTCCTAACTTTGAAAGAAAGGAAACATTAGACATCAGGTCTACTATTTTATTTTATTGTTGTACTATTTTATCTGAATTACAATAAACAGTTGTAGAAGAAGTTATTAGAAAGAATGATATAAGACTGTGTAAGTGATTACTTCAAAACCAAATGTGTCTGTGGCCACTAAACAGAGACTGCAATTCTAGGTAATTTCTGTCTTGACAGTATCTGTAAACACAGGTGATTTCCATTAAACAGCAAATGATTACAACAAAGCAGTTTGTTTATTTATTAAACTTCCATCAGAATGTGTAACATATACAGTATGTCCCCTGGGGATGTTTGGTCCCCAGAAAAGACTGAATTAAAAGTTGAGGTTAAAAAATAGACCACCTGGCGGGATTCCACAATTAGGATAAAAACAGGTGCAAGTGTTATTTAATTGTGGCCAATAGGTGTGGTGAAACTTATAAGAAATTGCATGACCATTTGTCAATTGCTGAAGAATCATGTAAAAAAAAATAAAAAAATTGAGACCTGACCATCAGAGACAGATCAGAAGAAGCGTCTGTCATCATGACTTTATTGCTTTGCTCAATAAAGTCTCTGCCTCTTGAACTTCATTCACAAGACAGAAGATTTTTCTCTGTACACTGTGACCCTGCATGTTTCACTGAAGCAGTTCTGTGGAAACAGTGAGAGCACAAGCTAGCACTTAATCACTTTGTGGTACAATTAAAAATGATTAATGTGATGTTTTGACATGTTTTTTAAAAATAGATTAGTTGGCAGTCCGCCATCCTTACAAAGCAGCAAGTGAAATAACTGTAGTAAGTGTTCGAAGATGAGCCAAAAAGAACATCTGTAACTGAGATAATTGGTTATGAACTGTGTAACTTAGAGTGGAAGCTGACTGAAAAAAATGGGCTCTAGTCAATAAGTTCCAGATAAAGTCCAAAATCAGACTTTATTGGGCGAGACAACTAATCCACGATGCACAACATCTGACTACACTTGCCTCTCACACTTTTATACAGTTCATTTTTGGAATCTCCCCAATATTCCCAGCACAGTTATTTTGGTTTTATGCAGTCTCTCTAACTGCCTGAAGCTATTATACAAGTACACTCCTTAAAGCATATTTTGTTAAAGCATGATTAATTTTTGACTGTATATAAATGTGAGATGCAAGTGTGATAGTCAGATGTTGTCTCGAACAATAAAGTCTGATTTTGGCATCTGGAACTTCTTGACTCGAGATTTTTTGAACAAAGAGAAGATTTTCTACAATAACTTTTATAGGATTACTTTACTTGTTTACTTTTTACTTTTAGTCATTTAGCAGATGCTTTTATCCAAAGCGACTTACAAATAAGAAAAAGTAATTAAAACTTAAAACTAAAACTCTATAAATACACACATTTAAGAAAATAAAAGAAATTAAATAAAAATGACAAATGCATACAACAACATTTCAAAACTAAAACATTTAAATGAAAATAAAAATAAAGCTAAAAACAATTCAAAAATATTAAAAGAACAAAAGGTAGGAGTATAATAATGATTCTAACATAACACTAAGCCAAACACCAAAAAACAACTACATATGTGTATGTACAGCCACACACATATACATATACATGTACATATATATAAATACATTAAATATATATATATTATTTCATTTCCATTTTGTATGTTGAAGTACTGAAATAACTCAAATTAAATAAAAGTAAAACTTAATAAAAAGCCTATATAGACATAATAAAAAAACGAATAAAATGACATTACTACAACTGTAACTAAAACTAAAATAGATAACTAATACAAATCAAAGTACATTAGTTCATCAGTAATCATAAAAAAAGAACACTGAGGCAAACACGCATGCTAAAATAACAACAACTTACTGACACATAGTAAGAAATAGATTATAAAAAAACTGAAACAGTTTTTAGGATTAAGGATTAAGGAGTAAAAGTAAGTGTTATATCTTCATGCAATAGCTACATGTCTGGTACATGTCCAGTGACTTGTGTCATGAAAACAATTCTAAATGTGTTAAAGATAGTGAAAAAAACAGTCAAAAGGTTTGTATTTGGTTTTTAAATTCTTCAAGAATGGTCAGTCCAACATACAGAAGCTCTGTAGTGAGAAAGACCGAAAAGGCTACTCAGTAGTGTTTTTTTATACTGATAGAGGCTGTCCAAAGATCGACTTGGATCTTCATCTTCTCAGATTAGTTCTAACAAGTCATAGCCATTCCTCTGTTTCTGTGCAAATGGAACATATGGAAAATAGAGAATATACAATATGGAAAATAGAATATAAAGAAAAATATAGAAATTTCCATAACACTTCAGAGTTCTTTTTTTTAAAGAGAGAGATTTTCTACAACTATATTAAGACTTGAAGTATAATATTATAAATATATTCATAATAAAAATAAATAAATGAATAAATAATAATATATTATATATTATTCACGAGTTTGAGGATGAGCCAAAAAAGGAGGAAAGGAGGAGACACCTGTGAATGAGGTCATTATGAACTGTATAAAACAGAGAGCTGCAGCTGAGATTGTATAATGTTCTGCAGCCATCTCGGCTCTGTTGGCTTGACCTTATAGCGCAACACGAAGGTAAACGCATTTTTATCACGAAAGACATATTTTCTATTATGTTGTCAACCCAAAAAGTTTGCTGGTTGCACTAAAGTTGCCTATCCTGATCACGTATACTGGGCAATTTTATCTGCACTTGAATTAGTCTGTTCTTGCTGTTGAAACTGAAAACGATGCATGTTGTGTTTCCGATGATGACTGTCTGTCTGGGTCTGTGCTGTTAACAAATATTTGACAGCCTCATATTGCCCTTTAGTCGGAGGGTGAACGAACTTTAGGAGGAAAGTGTAAACTATACGCACATCGTAAACCAGTCTTAAAGGGGTCATATGATGCTGCTAAAAAGAACATTATGTTGTGTATTTGGTGTAATGAAATGTGTTTATGCGGTTTAAGGTTAAAAAAACACATTATTTTCCACATACTGTACATTATTGTTTCTCCTCTTTGCCCCGCCTTTCTAAAACGCGTCGATTTTTACAAAACTCATCGGTCTGAAAAAGCGAGGTGTGCTGTGATTGGCCAGCTATCCAGTGCGTTGTGATTGGCCGAATACCTCAAGCGTGTGACGGAAATGTTACGCCCCTCACCATACTATGATGATGCCTGTCAGGCCGGAGCATGATTCAAAAACATGAAAACCCATTATAATCGAGGCATTCGTTGCATCCAGTAGGGACATAATTATGGATTATAATGACTTATACTGTCTTTTTATGCGTTGCATTGTGCCGCATAAACATAAAACCATGTCTGCATTTGCATTTGTGATCGGACTCGTGTTTTGAATCATCAGTGGCAAATCCTTTAAATGAAAACGTACTTGCAGACTGTGAGTCAGAACAGCCGGCATTGTAGTCTACTCTACCAGGATCAGAGAAAGGAAAAATTGAAATCGCATCATATGACCCCTTTAAATCCATAAACCATGGGTGTCATGTCATAAAATATTTTGAATACGACCGAATTTGTATTAAACGTGATCACAATTTAATAAAAAACATTGTAAGTTATTAGTTATAACGCTTTTATGTCCAAGGTTGTTCAAAGAACGAATATATTGTTTACAGCAAGCTAGCAAAGAACATTTACATGATCAAGGAACATTATCACTGACTTCTAGCGCGAGTTTAAGACCGCTTTAAATAAGTCCCATTATAATGAAGCTGTCTAGAATTTGTGAGAGTGCAAGATTCAGTCTGCGAGCCGAGCGAGCGCTCTGAACAAAACTCGTTTCAGCGATGACTAATCTAAACGCCTCTGATTGGCCATTGCGTTCATAAGCTCAACACATTCGTGTGTGATTGGTTATAATGCTCAAGGCCGTAAAAACGAGTATAAAGAAAACTGTGGCAAATTGAGCAGATATAAATTCAATGCCGCAATCGACACTTTTCATTACAGTATATTTTCACTTTTATTCGCGACAGCCGTAATATATTTAGTTTAATTGTGTTAAATTGTTGTTCAATTTGGTACCATTTTTGGCCCAAGCCCCTATTAAATTCTGACCTGTGTCCAGCACGCGCTCCGCCTATTAATAGTCTTTTTCTGTATTTGCCATGATTTTATGCGTTTTCCTGTTGTATTGTTCTCCTGTCTGGGAAGTTGATTAATTTTTATAATTTTATTTTGTCACTATTTCGTTGTCATGTATGTTATTTGATATAGCAATTTAATACTATCACATTCTTTTGGCAGTGAACGTTTTGGGTGGATTTCTTCTTGGAGTGGGCGGGTTTCGGAGAGCTTTTGTCTGGAAATCGTCGACGCTAACAACATTTCCGATTTCGTCAGAGTCACGTGATCCAGCTGAAGCGCCAAACTTTGAACGCGCGCGTTCAACGACTGTTCATTCGGTAAAACATGTAAGTTTTCTGACTGAGTAACAAAATAATTCGAACCAAATACATTTGACAGGTTTTCATACGAAACGTACACAATGCCAGCCGAGTTATTTTGGTATTAGAGGTTGTTTCTTTTCATTTTCTGTCATGTTTTGTAGGACGGAGCACAACATACCTATAATCATTTTGAGCGATGAAGATGATGATGGTGACTTTTTGAGGACCCACAACGATTCCTCTGTGCTGATCGTTGAAATTGAGAGGAACGAAGCAGGTAATCTGCGCTATATTTGTATTAAACGACACCAACAAAACTAAATGTTACCATGGTGCACATTAACATGTACGTTACCATAAAAGAACCACGTTTTTGGACTATATGTATCATATGGCAAT